CACATACACATACTGTATGCATGCAAAGTGATCCCAGGGATGTTGGGCTGGTAACCTCCATAAAGAAGATGTAATCAGGTATATTAAGAAATAAAAATAAAAATTGTGGTGAATGACAGGAAGCTGGATATCTTTTTTTGAGCAAAGTAAAATCAACAAGTTTAGGAAAAATGTGCAAAGGAGAAGTAAGGTGTACACAATGATGAGTACAGTACTGTACATGAATAGAGGTTTGTTGTTAAGTAATACAATGTAGATTACTCTAGAGGATCAGGTTAAAATAATGAACAAGAACTACACTACTGTACTGTACTGTACAGTATATTACTGTGAGTGCAGAATTTATGCACCAGGAAGTGAGAAGAGATAGCAGGAAAGAGAGACCTTTTGGAAAGAACTCAAGATTTTTTCTGAAAGGTTCATTGTTATAGAAACAGTGATAGTGGTAGTAGATCTCAATACAAGAGTGTGTGAAAAGGAAGTGGATGAGAAGGTAATTAAAAATGAAATGTCGCAAATGAATGTGTTTAAAGGGAGGTTTTATAAATGGTTTAAAAAACACATTCATAATATTTATGGAGCTTATTATAATATGTATTGGGCAATGTGATGTAAATATACTGGGAAGAGTTGTCTGATCATTATTTGCAAAAATTAATAATATTAGTGAAGACTGTTAAGGCATGAGACAAAAACAGAAATAGAGCTTTTATAGTTGATGAGCTAAAGAATGTGAAAAAGGCTGAGAATAAGAGAATGATTAAGAAAAAAATTAATATATGTACAGTCACCCAAAAAAGTCCTGTCGCGAACCATGAACCCCGAGATTCAGACTCTTGAATCCGAAGCATTTATGGACAGAATAATGTATCAGTGTCTACTGCTTCGGGTTCACGAGTCTGAATCTCGGGGTTCGTGGTTCGCGACCGGACTTTTTTGGGTGACTGTACATGAGAAAGAAGTGAAAGGGGTCAGAGAAGAGTCTAAGGGCATAATTCTAGTTATTTTAGGAGAGGTGAGGTGTGCTGATACAAAAAATGTGAAATAAACACAAAAAAATTAAGAAGAAACCTAGTTTTATGTGTGAGGAGAGCAAGCCGAGAGAAAAACTGCCCTCCTGAGGCAGGGGAATAACTTAACGGTAGGTGCAGTGTAAAGAAAAAAAAAGGCCAATAACGAAATTCAATGTATCTTTTATGCTAAAATTAAGGAAATGGCTACTTACGTGGCCAGACAGCCTGGAGGCTACTTGGCCGGGAAACCAGTTGTGAGGATCCGGCGCGCTCAGTTTCATACTCTAAGCTAATTCATGTGTCGTTCTAACATTACACTGCAAGGTATATCTCTCTTATTATGACAAAAAAATTTATTGAAAGAATTTATAAATTTTTGTAAAAATTCTTCGAAAATCTGTTTTACAGGTGAACACATTTTGTTTTCAGATATTCGTCAACTACTGTACAGTATATTCTCAATGTCTTGCCATGTATGTATTAAACTTTCCATCTTTGGATAAGTTATCCATTGTAATCTATACAGTACTCTACTGTACCCAAATAAACCATAGGAGCAAGATCTTTGGTGTATTTACAGAGAACAGTACAGTACTGTACTGTATAGTGCAATGTACATATCAACATAATATCCAGCTAATAAGCCAAGGTGTGAAGGTTCTCTGACCTAACCTGACCACCACAGGAACATGAGGTCACTTGGAGAAATACACTATGTTTGACAACACAAGATTTTTATATGTGAATTTAACAGAGAAGTCAAGGAGGAGATCATAGATGTGACCCCAAGGGCAGATCTAGGGGGTCCTGGCAGTTTGGAACCCCCGTTTCATCAGAATATTCCAATACCTTTTCTTTAATACAGTATTGTACTCAAGCATTTTTATATAGTAAAAAGTATTTATTGTATTATTGACTTCAGAATATCTCCTAATATCAAATGCACATGGCTTCAAAATGGCCTCAAAATGCCCATGATATTGGTCAGATTTCAACAGTACAATAATTCAAATTTATATTAATTCTTTCAATATTAATTTTTTCATGAGAGAGACATATACCTTACATTGTAATGCTAGAATGGCACATGAATTAGCCGAGAGTATGAGGCTGATTGCACCAACTCCTCACAACTGGTTTCTTGGTCAAGTAGCCTGGATATTGCCCTCCAAATTGAATCAGGCTCAAAATTTTTCATGTGAGAACTAAATGAGTAGCTCCTTGGGTTTCTATGCAAGTGTTAGTTTAGCTGTTGCCGCCATATTAGTCTATTTTCTCTCTCTCTCAGAACGGTCAACATCGACCCCAAGAACATGTCCGGTGAGGAAAAGGTTCACATCCTTGTTCTGTTACATGAAAAAGTTCTGCTGAGGGAAATCCAAGGCAGGGCACACCAACAATTAAGATTGAATTGAGTAGCACACATTCTTTCTGCTCCACCTTGAAAATCATCTCCTGGTAGACCCAGAAAATCTTCCAAGGCCACTGACCTGTTTATATGATGAGAAGTGATGAAGAATCTGAGAATGTCTGCAGCAGAAATATAGAAAACCCACCACAACCATCTTCAAGATGCCAGAATAAACAATTCAACACAAACTGCAAAGGCAGCTGAACATTCCATCTCATCATGTGGTCAGACAAACAAACATTCCTCACCAAGCATATACTGTACACCAACAGCAGCTCCAATTTGCACATAAACACAATAACTCCTGTACGTATCTACACTTTGGATGTTTCCTAGGAAACGCAGTGTCAGGAAAACGGCACTTCTCAGCCATGTGATTCCACGAACCGGAGAGTGATTCAAGGTCAGTCAGGATTAAGGATCAATTAGATGAACAGTTTCATGAGCTTGTATGCTTCAGACACTATTCAGCTGTAAAAGCAATGCCATATTTATACAGGGTATTCCCTTTTATCCTACCTGATTACAAGTTATTAAGGGATCTTCCATGTCAATAGCTTCCAGAACTCAGGTCACAGAAGAATTCACCTAAGAATAACTAGCAATTCACATAATTATGTAATCCCTAAACACCTTCTGCATCTGTTATCTCAGGTTGAATTAGATAAACCCACAGGGTTAATAAGATACTGGGGCATGTACCTCAGATGAGTGGATAGCATCACCATGGGTTACCCTTATTGAAAGTGCATTCACTGGCCAACTCAACCTATTCCAGACAACTATCAGATCCCTGAAAAAAAGTGATCTATGATTTATCAATAAAAATCTTAAGTATGCAAACAAAATATTCTTAGCATAGTAACAATTTGGCTAAGAATACTATACTTATATGTGTGACAAAGCCAACATGCATCTCTCATGACACTCCATGTCACCCCCAATCCTGGATCAACCTACAGTATATTGGACTCGGCCTAACCCTAGTTAAAAGAAGATGAATTGAGGGACTTTGTCTGTGCGGATAACAGTTGTTGGTTCTAAGGCTAGTCCACTGCTGTACTGTACAGTAGTGTACTGTGATATATATATATATATATATATATATATATATATATATATATATATATATATATATATATATATATATATATATATATATATATATATATATATATATATATATATATATATATATATATATATATACATACGTATGTATGTATGTATGTGTATGTATGTAAAAAAATTCGGTTAACGAAGTTCTTACGAACCGACCTCAACATGTTTTCGCTTGCACTGACCGGGCAACCAGCTTTAGTATCAGTCCGCCAATACATTAATCGGTTCTAGGGCTTAAATTCCTTACTATTTTAGTAAATATCAAGAAGTTTATACTATTCAATAATTTTAAAAGTTTAATATTCAATTTTTTAGTCATTTTATTATTGAAATAATTGAAGGTAAAGTGACTAGTTTAATGCGCGGCATCCAGCCTCTTAACACAGCAAACAGGAGTTAGTCTCTCTCTGTTTTCACTGGATGTAACATCTTGCTTGAGACTCTCTTCAACTAAACGCTTTTTTTCTGTGTTTCCAAGCAAATTATTGGTCATTTTGAAATATATTTTACATATTGACAATAAATAATGCAGTGCAGTGTTGATTTAAAGAAAATAATCTTGAATTACACCAAGAGAGCTAAAATTTTATGGGTGAAATGGCGCCATGGGGTGACTTCTCTTCCACCCCAATGCCTTCTCTTCTTCCTTCTCCTCCACCCCCATTCTAAAATCATCATCATCATCATCATCCAGGAGCCTTCTACATACACACCTCAAAGTAAGTGAACTTTTCTACCATTTTTGTTGAATTTAGGAAATTTTCGGTGAGCTGGAACCAATTACCCAAAAACCCATTGAAACAATGGTTTCGGTGAACGAACTTTTCGGTTAACGAACGACCTTCTGGAACGGATTGAGTTCGTTAACAGAGGGGTCACTGTATATATATATATTACTGTAAATGGCTGTTCTGGTTGCCCCTTGTGTTTGAGTATGGCCGGTCCAAGGGCCACCTAGATGTGAATTTGTTTAAGGTGTAGAAGCTGTCACTAATACAACAACCACACCATAAGTTATCAAGCTGCATGACCCAGTGTCACGGAAGAGTTCGAGAAGATCGGATAACTCACAAACTGCACTGGCTAACCATTACACTGGAACACAACCCGCGAATTGATTAACATCCAGGTCCCCAATTACTGCTGGGTAGACAGAGACAAACAACATTAAGAAACTTGCCCAAAGTTTCACCCTGCCCCGGAATCAAACTGAGTCCACTTACTTGCGAGGCGAGCATGCTGACCATTACACCATAGGTCGCCATGGCTGTTCTACAAACACTATGAATAACAGAAGGAGGATCAGATTAGGAAGTACCATAAGAGAAATGATAGGCTTGACCCATTTCATGCATAAAGCAGGAAAATGTATATAATAACACCCTCAGGAACAGACAGGGAAAGAGTACTATCAGGAAGAGTGCTCAGGCAACATGGATGTATTGAGATTGTGGTAAAAAAAAAAAAAATGTAATACAGAATTCACAAGTGCATCATATGATGTATAGACTCATCAAGAAGAAGAGAGAATGGGAACTAATATACAGTACACTAGAGATGAGAAAGTTGGCCATCCAGGAAGCAAAAATGTGTGTGTATGGTGTTGATGCTGATGGGCGAGCCTATCTTGTGTGAAACAAAGGTACTGTAAAGAGATTTGGGGTTTAATGAGGAGTCCTATATAGCAGCACATCTGCTATAGCAGTTAAGAAACAATAAATGATACTGAGTGAAGGAAGAGCTGTTACTGTACCATACAGTTAACTCCTTCATTCGTTAAATTCTTTCTTACTTACATATGTTCTTTCTCGGCTCATAATAGTTCATCTCGTCATTACTGTTAGCTTAAAATTAAACAGCAAAGTGGCCTCTCTGTAACCACACTTTGGGAGACTACAAAGTGGCCTCTCTGTAACCTCACTTTGGGAGACTACAAAGTGGCCTCTCTGTAACCACACTCTGGGAGACTGCAAAGTGGCCTCTCTGTAACCGCACTTTGGGAGACTACAAAGTGGCCTCTCTGTAACCAAACTTAGGGAGACTACAAAATGGCCTCTCTGTATCCACACTTTGGGAGACTACAAAGTGGCCTCTCTGTAACCACACTTTGGGAGGCTACAGAGCCAGTGTTTACAATGTTAATACTCAACAATGAAATTTAGGGTTTTGATATATTTTAATATCTGAATAGTTTAAGGGTCAAACAATTTTACACTCTGAAATTACCATCTTAGATGGGAAACAGAAACTGCATAAGAGAAATGTAGTTCCCTTAAAGGTGACAGATGCTCTAGAGAAGACATTATAATGGAAAAAAACACCACAAAGATGTTTACATATTAATGGCTTCCTGAAGCTGCTGTGACACAAGATACACCAAGAAATCGCTAATCTAGTTAAATGTGACAGGTTTTTTGCATAACTTATTGGCAATGCTAGTTAAGGTAAACTCAAGCATATTATGAAGATTACTGGTGCCTTTAGGCATATAATCAATCATTAAGCAAAGGGTCTGCACTACAAAAACATTATCTGTAGTGTAAGTTGTTCAGTACAACAGCAAAACCAAAATATGCTGTTTCAGTCACAATCAGTCTATCGTAGTCAACAATAAAAAGATGGAATTAGTCTATGCTTTACTTGCTATTAAACATCAAATACTGCACTACTTATCTATGGAAAAAGTGACAAGAAAATCCAGAATGGTCATATTAAAAACAATTTGGTGATAAGAAATACAGCTTACCTGTACTTTGCTCGCAAAAATGATAAGAAACATCTTGAGTTCTACTAACAACAAATATAATAATATCAAGCTATAGCATTTTGAAAAAAATTATAGAAGTCTACACCAACCCATAGAAAGGATTTCATAATATAAATTGCATTTTGCAGAAAAAACAATGAGCTTCCCATGGGAAGTAGTTAATTGATACATACAATATCAATAATCCAACCACAGTAAATTAATGATCCTAATACTCGATAAAAGCTATTAACTTTTTATCAATTTGGTAATTCCTAATATAGGCTTAGTATCATGAACCCGGTAAAGCATGCATTATAGTCAGTATAGGTGAGACCTTTCTTACAAAAATTATCCCAGTCAGCCTTGCATATATGTGAGACTTTTCTTACAAAAATGATCCCATATAACTATAATTGTTAATGAGTAAGTGGCCACAATGGCCCTCCAATCTATTAAAAATCTAAATTATGGTAAACCTTACAAGAATCATCTGACTAACACACGATCTTCACCAAGGTTCATGTAATTTGGACATATGTCACCAGGTAACGCAGTTGCCTGGGAATGAACGCCCTTGCTGAAGCAATGCTGTGCTTCTCCACTTGAAGTGCCTGCTAATGTATGCTCAAGCGCAAATGATGCAAACTGGATCCAGAAAGTGTATTAACTGTTAACTATGACCCAAGTGATAATCTGACAGGACTGCAGAACAAAATACAGTATTACTGAGTAGCAATGTCTACTGATATTTCACTTTTATATATATATATATTTTTCAATCACAATATATTTCCATTAACAGTGTATGCTCATCAAATTATTCATTTGTCAATTAATTACTCTGATGACATAACAATTGACTAAAAAAAAATTCTTCATATACAGTACTTAAAGTTTTATTATTGAATAAGTTTTAATGATCACTGACCAAAAATAAAATATTTGCAATGTTTCACAGTAATATGAATATAAGTTTGTAAATCACACCCAAATTAAAAGAAAAAATTAAAAAATGAATTTCCATCAATTAACTTGAGCTTGATTAACTGGCAAAACAAATATTTTGTCAATTTGATCAGCTTGTTCTGTGATCCAGTTACTGTTAACTTTAAAACACTGACAAGGTTCCCTAAGTCTCGATACAACCACCTTTTTAAACCGCTAACCAATCTTTGCAAAATAAAGACCGAAATTTCCACAAAAAAGGTGGAAATATGAGATGTTGACTAAAACCATAGTACAGTAATTCTATAATTATCTACTATCTTCACAAAAAAGGTAGATGAAACATCCTCAATAAACGATGGGCGTATTATTCAGATAAACATCAATGTCGCTTGCATATTCCAGTTCACTCGTCAGCGGGAGAAGCTGCTCCAAAAACGTCCAGTGCAAACATCATTACGCTAATTAGCATTTATGTAGAGTAGCACTGGAGTCACATAAAATTTTCTCTACTGTACAATATTATACAAACTATTCCAATATGAAACACACACAGGGTATTCATCATGGCAAACATTAATATATGATGCACAATGGATATACACGGGCAGTGATTTTTTTAAAAGTATCTCTATGACAGCATGAAGGTCATAAACAAAGTTCATGAGTGAGGCTATGGAAGAGCAGCTTTCTCATCTACCAAATCACTTTCTCAAACTTCAAAACTTTCACCATCACTGTAAGCTGACAATACAGTAATGTTCACTTGTACATGACCCCACACTACACAATAATGTTCACTTATACATGACCCCACACTACAAAATAATGTTCACTTATACATGACCCCATACTACACAATAATGTTCACTTATACATGACCCACACTACACAATAATGTTCACTTATACATGACCCACACTACACAATAATGTTCACTTATACATGACCCACACTACACAATAATGTTCACTTATACATGACCCCATACTACACAATAATGTTCACTTATACATGACCCACACTACACAATAATGATCACTTATACATGACCCACACTACACAATAATGTTCACTTATACATGACCCACACTACACAATAATGTTCACTTATACATGACCCCATACTACACAATAATGTTCACTTATACATGACCCACACTACACAATAATGATCACTTATACATGACCCACACTACACAATAATGTTCACTTATACATGACCCCATACTACGCAATAAAGTTCACTTATACATGACCCACACTACACAATAATGTTCACTTATACATGACCCACACTACACAATAATGATCACTTATACATGACCCACACTACACAATAATGATCACTTATACATGACCCACACTACACAATAATGATCACTTATACATGACCCACACTATACAATACTAAGAATCAACTAGCCTTCGATAGCATCACTGTACAATGCATACTGTACATTAAAATATATTTTAATTCAATAATAATTTGGGAAGTTGATTCCCAAAACTTGTTCAAGCTTCTGCTACTGGATGTCACTATTAACCTATGCAAGATAAGCTGATAAATATGAATGAATGTAAGATAACACGTCAACATTTGTTCTAAATCAGCTGACATTGACAAACAATGACCTTCTTCCTGCATTTACAATAATTAATGGCCAACTACTTTTAATATTACAAAACACTTATATATTCTATGTCATCAGCAATAATAATTATATTAAGTATCATCATGTTAAAATATTTTGGGATCGAGCTTTTGCCTTCAAGCGTATCTGCCCAAATTACAAATATTGGCATCATTGTTACCCTATTTGAAGCAGCATCCAGTAGCAGCAGCTTTATTTACAGAGAATAAGAACAAAAATCATCTTGTATCCACTAGTAGCAGGTAAGACATAAATACAAAAATATAAAATTTGACAGACAAGTACAGTCTGGGCATCTACATGGTGATTTACATAGTCTGGGCATCTACATGGTGATTTACAGTCTGGGCATCTACATGGTGATTTACACAGTCTGGGCATCTACATGGTGATTTACACAGTCTGGGCATCTACATGGTGATTTACAGTCTGGGCATCTACATGGTGATTTACACAGTCTGGGCATCTACATGGTGATTTACACAGTCTGGGCATCTACATGGTGATTTACACAGTCTGGGCATCTACATGGTGATTTACACAGTCTGGGCATCTTATATGGTGATTTGCACATCGAGCCTTATTTATTCTCAAGTAAGGAATTCAAGCAAATTTGCACATCCATTTGAAGATGAAGATAATGGTGTTGAACTGTCATGTACAGTATAAATATAATCTGATATACTGTTCATTCTTCTAAGCTTAGCTTAAACAGGGTTTGATTGCAACCATCCAACTGGTCAATTCATCAGCTGATGAGAAGGCCAGACACATTTACCAATTTTCAGGACAAACATGGCATTATCTTTCCTCAAAGATCCTTACTGTAAACTAATTTTGATAAGTGTGAGCCATTATATGACTGACCAAGAGATAATGCTTTGATCATTAATATTTTCTGGGATTCTAATCATATACAGAAAGGTACATTTTTCAAAATAAGAAAAAAGTGTTTTTTTTTATCAGAGTAAGTCATGCTTACTTAAAATAACACCCACATATTTCTTAAATCATGACACATCTGCATGATATATGCTATATTTTAATACACCATACTCTCTATAAAAGTACAGTATAAATTATTACAAATGAAATATTGCTTCTGAAATTCAGTTTTATGATGCAGCCTGAAAAGAACTACAGTACAGTACTGTATCTGTGTACAGTATATGCCCACCAGGGTCTATAGGTTAGGGAGCCAGGCATCCCTAAACTTAGGTGGCTGGGGACAATATGAAGATGAGGCAACCCTCCTACAGCAATGTAATCCCTTAAACCATCTTTACCACAGCAGGTTAAGCAAACAGTGTGTTGTGAAGCCTCACAGCAATATTCGAGCTGCTCTTCAGGTGACTGCTGCCCTAGACACACTCACAGAACTGCCTTCACTTTCAGCCAAACCCCTAAGGAAACACCTGGGAGGAAGAAGGGACTCAAGTTGCTTATTCTGGGCTCACTCATTAGAAGCAACATCAGAATCAATCCTTCATTTATGACCTAACACCTTTCAAGAGCAACTTGTATCAAAAGCTACCTGCAGAAAGAAAGGATAGGGAGGTAAAAAGACACCCCAGCTGGAGGTAATTCAATTGTATACAGTATTTTAAGTCTTGAAATCACTGTCCTCCAAATAGAGTACTTAGGGACCTCTTATGCACAGGACATCATGGTCCATACCAACAACTTCTATGATTAAGAGTCCACACAGTGTAAAAAAAGAATAAAAAAAAAAAATCAGTTTCCTGGAAATCAAGTAAACTTTTTCACTTCTAAGACAAAATATAACTATTAGACAGTGAACCAATAAAAGCCCTGGGAAGGGTACAACCTACACTCCTGGTACACTAGTGAGCCACTTCTATCCAAAATAAGAAGCTTTCTTAAAAGTTCCCAAGAAGACTTAAGAAAACCCAAGGTCTTTATCTCACCTGCTGAATAGTAGTCTATCTGAGCTTGACATCAGGAATAAACCTATCAATCTATTCATATAATTTAACAATATTTGTACAATCTCCCGAGGCTTTTGGTATTAGTGTTTTGACAGAAAATGGCCAGACCACATCACTGAATTATATTTTCCCTGGCACGTCATGCACATTATGCCCAAGGATGTCAAAATTTTGCTGGTCCATTATAAGGTAGATGAAATAACTTTGAGAGTCAAAGGTTCTGAGCTCAATGCCTAGAAATTGGACAAGTGGCCACCTGTTAGAAGATGCCCAGCTTGTGAAACTGATCCTACCCCTCCCCATACAACAGAGGAGAAACCAAGGCACTGAGTATAGTGGTGTGGACTGCCGGCAACCCCATCTTCTGAAAAGAAGGGTGAATTTGGGAAAAACTCCTATTACTTTTTTACTTTTTTTTCTGGCAAGTGATTCAGGTGTGCTACACAACAGTATGTCAAACACTTGACTGACACAATGTGTGACCCCAAAGTAGAGCAGAAAGACCACAGTCAAATAAGAAGTCATTATGGGGGAAGACAAAACCCTCATATGGACACCAACAAGAAGAATGAATCAACCCTGCTGCTCAACTCACAGTGCAGGTTGTATTCTTCCAACTGGAAGCCCCACAAACTCTGTCCAGTTGGAGCCAGCCAAGGCAATGATTTAAAATAATGTAAGTGTGAAGCAACTCAAAACACACATACTGTACTCACTCTCAGGAAGGTTCATGTCATTTTAAGTCAAATTAACTAACTCTTCAATAGGATTCATTTTCATTCCAATATAAAAATGTACTATAAGTACTGTATAATAGCATATTAAAGATGATCATCATCACTATTGCTGTTTTACGACCATTTTCCATACATGCACTGCATATGCTACATATATTACAATGAAATATATGAGGACCAAGCAAATAACTTATTGCCAGTCAAAGAGATCAATGCAGTAATCACACCCTGTCACTACTTGCTTGAGACACTCTTATGTGTGTGGTACCTGATGGACACATGTGGTGGAGGATGTAGCCCATATTTAGGGAAAATGGATTAACAAACACAACTGATCTCACTGAAACCTAATTTGATGCCGCCTGTTATCAAGACCTGTGCTGGGGTCTCCCATGTTCTAATATACAGACAAGTACAAAATAACAGAGTATTATTTACAGGCCAAACCAAGGATAAATACTGTGAACCTCAAAATAGTACACACTATAATGCTATTGTGGCCCATACCAGTGAATTCCTTTTAATAACTTCAGGTAAGACCTGGAAAACTGTCACTGTCTAAAGAAAAGACTGTCAAGAGTGACTAACTTTGTTGTGTGGCTTTATCATTTGTTACCTCTCAGCCTTAGACCCTTTCTACATGGCTACAGCTAGTAAGTTAATGTTGACTGATTTATTGAGTGATCCTACAGCTATTTTATTTAAGGATTCCCTGGTGTTCCAAATCCACATATTCTGAAGGGCATATACTGGACATGAGTCACTCTTGAAAGACGCTAGTTCATAATTTTTTTCAATACAGCATGCCCCTACAATTCGTGGGTTTTTAATTCACGTCCTTTGATTATTGGCGGATGACACCCTAGATCTACACAAGAATGTCTGTGGGTGCTTTTAAAGTTGGCGGCATGTTCACAGCCCGGGACGAGGAGCGCATGAGTTTTGTGGCGTCCCACAAGATATCTCTGTTGTCCCAGCCGGCTGGCCCGTGCGCCCACTCAGCCTCAGTCAGAATATACACTTGCCCATCTCGTGCGTGTGCTCCTCTGCTCTCTTAACAACTGTGTTCCTCATATTTGTATTTGCTCCCAAATGCCCTCAACCACCTTCATCCAGCAGCGTGAAGGCGCCCAAACAAGTATAGAAAGAAAAAAGGGTGGAGAAGATAAAACTGTTGGGCAAACTTAGGAGTGACCAAAGTTTTGCTGTATGTGGCCAGGAGTATGGCATCAATGAGTCAACTGTCTGCTACATCAAGAAGAAAGAGATGGAAATGCATAATGCCAGTGCCCTAAGTGGCCCCTCTTCTGCCAGGGTACAGCTATGGTGAAGATGGAGAAAGTCCTTAACATCTGGATTGAGGACTTTAACTGCCGCCACATCCCTCTCAGCCAGAAGTTCATCCCAAAAAGTCCCCCGTCAGCAAATTATATTCGCATATTTGGAGACTCGTGGATACTTTGCGACCCAAACCCCTGCGAATTTTAAGGGCATTCTGTATTCTGAACTGTTTAAATATGAATGAGTGAAGGTTACTAGCATGTCTGTATGTATGTATGTATGTATGTATGTATGTATGTATGTATGTATGTATGTATGTATACAGTCATCACTTACATACATAAACTTTACAGAAAGTATAAATGAACCTTTAATCTTTAATACTGAAGAAGTAACAATGTTAATTTTTTAAGTTAACTATGATCGCCCACAAGGGTAAAATATGTTAACACGATTGTAATAAGCAAAACCTAACCTGACCATCTGTTGCAGATATCACTAATCTTTTATCTTAAATAGCTGGGTACTGCACAAAGGTAATCCAGGCATAATCTTATAAGTCAAATTTAGTTCTGTATAATAATTAATATAAACACCTACAATATGTTTAACCAAATGTTACCTGGAGTTGTATGTGTAAAATGGTACAGAAATCTCCACTTGATCTTTTAAACAACATTACAGTAACCATCGAGCAATTTGAGTTTTATGATAGAGTGTACAGTTTGGAATGTATGAGAATGGAAACAAAATGTTAAGAACAGAGAACTGTACTATACACTACTGTATCCTAACACTGAAATCATCTATTGGATTGTTCACACAAATGCTGAGGAACTTGCTGTCATTCCTTAATCATCTGATGGGGCTACTGATAAAACTGTCCAAGTAACAATAACAGTGCTAAACAAGTAAAATCTGATCTGTCTTTACAATGCCCATAAAACAATATTTGATATTTTTTATTTGTATTTTTTTTACTAAAATATTTGAGGTGCTTTTTCTAGCCCCAAATACTCTGGAGTTAAGGTTCAGTCTATGGTAAACAGGTCATGCTTGTTGGCATAAAAATGGTGTACTATTCAGGTAATGGAGAGCATTAATCCTCCCTCCAGGCCACCCACCCACAGTGACCACTTCGCCCAACCTGGGTAATCATATGCACTATCTTTATGACAGTTGTACCAGTGTTCAGTAGCCACAGCCAGTGGGAGCCACGACTGTTTACACAAGAGATACGTGCACAACTCCAGTGCCCCTCCTGATTGGTCACCACTTGTGCTTGCTACCTTCTCCTGCCAAGACCTTCCCCAAGTTTCACCAAACATCTGTCATCAAAGCACACAACTTTCTTCTTTCCACCAATCATAAGACAAACATCAAGAAGTTATTAGACAAAGTGAGATCAAAAGAAGCTGTGGAAAATAGACAAACATTGATACCTATTATAAAAACTTTTCTATTGTGGGGAAGTTAAACTTCCCTGTGAAGACAGAGATGATGGAAGCCATGATTTAGGATGCAGCAGCATTAGTGATGGTGGAAAATTTTGATCTCTTACTGTTAAGGGTTGATGCAGGTGACAAGAAACTGAGTGAGCACTTAACAACTGCTAGTAAAAATGAAACTTATATAAGTAAAAAAATACATTTATACTCCAATAGACTGTGCTGGATTTGATATTGCACAAAAGATATGTGTCAAACTACCACAAAACTCGTTACTTCTCTATATCAGCAGATGAAACAATTAACATTTCTCAACAAGAACAGCTTTGTGGATACACAACTTTATAGTGTAGCAGATGTGAAAAACAAGTCACTTGAAAACACCGCCAGACAAGTTGGGTTGAATGACATAAGCGTATCAAAATTCTGTCAGTTACTGCTGGGAATCAAAGACCTCGGTATTGTATCGTGTAAAAGTTTGCCGGTTATGAAAACTTGCACCAAGGTAAGAATGTTCCCCGAGCCATCACATATTCAGAATTCATAGTTACACTATTTATTTTTAAGGAAATCCCATCTGTAACATGAACTGCCAACTAGACTCCAAGCTGCTCAGCAAAATTTGTGTAGTGCCCTTGGGTATATTGATATAATACTGTCTTCAATCTTCACAACTAGAAACATAACAGAGATTTGGCAGACAGCTGAAAGAACAATACAGCAAATTTGTTTGGAGTGGAGTTAAGACACTCAAGAGTTGCATCAAGACAGCAACACAGAAGTAATGTGCCATCAGATATTCCACAAAAATATTTTCAGAAAGCCATCTACATTCCTTTGACTAACTATGTTATAACTTACCTAACTGGGGCTCCTTGTGAGGATCGTCATGTTCCCTATCCTATCTACTTCTCTGAAGAAGCCTCCTACCCAAAGAGCCTTTATCCTTTCTATGCCCTTCCTGTATACTTGAAGGCCAATAAAAGGTTTGGGATTTCAG